GGGAGGAAATGCACGGGACTAGGGTGGTGGCACAGGGGTGATCTGGTGATGGGAAACCTGCGGGGATTACAATCGAGATGGAAAAAAAAATGTGCAAAATGATGTAAAAATAAACTTTGTAATAAAAAAAAAAGGCTTATTTATTTATACATATAGAACTGGGGTACAGGCCAGCGGTGTGGGGGTGAGAGGATTCACCAGACAGAGTGGGGAGCAGAACAGGCAGATTGATGAAGTACACTGCCCAGGAGAGCAGGGGCAGTGGGTCAGGAGAGGTCTGCTGGGCGCTGTGGGTCACCTCCCTGGCCGGGAACTGAGCTCGTGCTGTTGTGGCTGTGATAGCTTCATAGTGCTGTGCTCTAGCCCATTGCACACCAGGAAGGGCCCAGAATGATATCATTTAGGCTATGGGCTGGGAAGGCCTCTTAGAGGAGGTGACATTTAAGCTAAGATCTTCTGGCACTCTAGAAGGAACAGTTAGGGCAAAAATAAATTGAAGAAAGAAAACAATCAGATTCAAACTGAAATACTTTCATCTGACCAGTACTCTTCAAAGATGTTTCTGTCATGAGAGATAAAGCTGAGGAACTGTTCCAGAAAGGAACGAAAGAGACAGGGAAACTAAATGCAACTTGATATCTAAATGCAACTAAATTAGTTTGAAGGTGATGCTACCAAAGACATTACTGAAACAACTGGAATTTTTAATATGGTCTTTATGTTAAAGGTATTATGTAGATGCTAAATTTCCTGAATTTGATTGCTGAAACTAGGTCATGTCAGACAGTATCCCTGTTCCTACATCTATGCTGAAGTATTTGGAATAAAGAGTCACAATGTCTGCAATTTACTCTCAGACAGTAGAGCAAAAATTAAAAGGAAAAAAATACAGGCATTCCAGGCAGAGACTAATATGTGCAAAGGTCCTGAGGTAGGAAAGAATTCAACTTGCTTAGAACAGGCAAGTAGACAGGCAAGTGACCCGAGCAGGGAGAGGAAGCCATAAGTGAGGGACAGATATTGACAGCTTGGCTGAGGAGCACGAGTGGAATCTGAAGCCATTAGGAGACTCCACCCAGGTCCAGACAACAGCTGATGAAGGCCTATGACCTGCATAGTATCATGGGGATGGTAAAGAATGGAAAAAGTCGATAATTACTTTAAAGGTTGTGCTTACAGGGCAGACAGACGATTAGATGGCATAAGAAGTGAGAGAAATAGAGGATCAAGCACCATGCCATATTTTTGGTCTGACCCACTAGGTGGGTGATAATACCAGTTACTAAAGATGGGGAGACAAAGCAGTTGGTGGTGGGGGTGCAGGTGGAGATGGAGCACTCAGTTTTGAATATGTTAAGCTTGAGATGCCTGTGAAGCATCAAGTAGGTCACTGCATCCTCAGCATCTCATACAGTAAATGCACATTGCATGAGCCGACTGCAGAGGCGAAGCAGGGCAGGTGATGCAGCTGGCTGAGTCCTGCAAAGCCCCATCGCCCTTGTGGCCCCATTTCCTCCTGCCTCCGAGACCCTGTTGTCCCATCAGGACCACAACATGCTCTCTGGTCCAAGCCCCAGCTCCAGCCAGATATCTTGCCCTCCCAGGGAACAGAATCACCAGACTCTGAAGTCCACCCCCACCCCCACATGGCAGTGCAGCAGCTGCCTTTCCTCACCCCCAAACTAGAATGGCTGCATCCCAAGGAAACCTGGCCAGTCACCATGACAACAGCTGAGCCACAGCCTGGAACCAGACAGGTACCTGAAGACTGATGGGGGATGGGGCCAGTCAGTCAAAAAAGGGGGGGAATGACAACTTATTATGATACTTGGCTTCCAGATGTAGGGACCTTCTGGGGAATCACTGCGCAAAGGGCTGTGTTGCAGAAAGATGAGCACAGACCTAGGGAGCATTTCTACTTATCCTACTTCCATAAATATTTCAGTAGGCCATCCCAGGGGACCCAGAAGAGCAGAAAAGGGATATTGATTTGGGACTCTGTCCTCTCCACCTCCAGGCAGCTGGTGGAACTTCTTAAACCCCTCCCCTCTCCCCCCCAACACACACACACACACACCCTCTCTCTCTCTCTCTCTCTCTCTCTCTCTCTCTCTCTCTCTCTCAATTTACTCCTACTGGGCATGCAGGGGACTCCATTTGTGCTAAGAACTGCAGATTCACAATATGGATTTGCGAGTGCAAGCCATGGGGAGACGAGGGTTAAGTCCACAGACCATCTGCAAACCCAAAAGGGCCTCCTTCTGTTCCTGAATGTGCTCTTGACCGGAATGATGCCCCAGGGGAGGCATTGGGCCGTGGACTCTAGTCCACAGGAAACCACAAGGTCATTCTGTAACAACTCCAATTTAGCAGCACCACCTCAGGGAAGCCAAACAAAAGAACTCAAGTCAGACCTGGCCCACAGCAATTCTCCATATCCTCCGTGCCCTTTACTCTCCTTAGCTTTGCATGCCTACCCCATGCAGCTGTTTGCCAGATGCTGGGGACCCAGCAGCCCCTGTTATCACGTGAGAGTCCCCAGGGTGGCACTTACGCTCTGGTCGTCGTCCTCACTGCGCATGTGGTCCGCGATGAAGCGCACGCCCTCCACAGCCCCCTGGAGGCCGCAGCCACATGCTCCCTCTGAGCGCCCCTCGCCGGCTCTGGAGGGTTCAGCCTTGAAGGTCCCAGCCAAGCCCTGGGCAGACGCTGGGTTGACGAAACACGCACTGGAGTCAGCGCCCAGGGCCTCACCGAAGAGGAAGGCTCCCGCACCCTCTCGCTCGCGCTGGCGTCTCTGTCTCTGCAGGCGCAGACGCTGGTGGGCGCAGTGGTGGTGCGGCTGCTGCATGAAGAGCAGCGTGGGCAGCTTCTCCAGGAAGACGACCTTGACCCAGGGCGCCATGGTGTGCGTGGTGGGTGAGCGGTGGTGCACATTGAGCACGCACACACTCGTGATGATGGAGAAGGTGACGAGCACCATGGTGAACAGGAGGTACTTGCCGACGAGCGGCACGTCCAAGGAGGTGGGCGGCACTATCTTGGAGATGAGCAGCAGGAAGACCGTGAGGGCCAGCAGCACGGAGATGCACAGCGTCATCTTCTCGCCGCAGTCGGACGGCAGGTAGAAGACCAGGATGGCCAAGGAGGTGATGAGCACGCAGGGGATGATGAGGTTGATGGTGTAGAAGAGCGGCTTGCGGCGGATGATGAAGTCGTACGTGATATCCACGTAAGTGGAGTCGTCGGGGTTCTCGTTACGCCGGCCAGGCAGGGCCAAAATGTCCCACTCGCCACTGGGTGTGAAGTCGTCCAGGCCGGCCATATCACTCTTGAGCACCAAGTCGATCTCCGTGCGGTCGTAGGTCCACGAGCGAAACTTCATGGTGCAGTTCTGCTGGTCAAACGGGAAGTGCTTTACTTCGATCTTGCAAGCGCTCTTGTAGATGGCAGGCGGCAGCCAGAAGATGCTGCCATCATAGGACACCACGGCGTTGGAATAGAAGGATACCTCGTACATGCCGTCAGCACTGCCCAGGGGAGGAGTGCAGTCAGCCCCCACCTAAATGTCCCTCGATCCCCACCCACAACCAGCCTTCACCCCAGAAAAGAAAAACCAAGGGGAGATAAAGGGAGGGGAAACCCAGGTCTGAGGGGCACTAAGGGGCAGCATAGAGAGGTAGAGAGCCAGTTAGGTAAGAAGGGCTGTGGGGCCCTCTCTGGTGGCTCAGTGGGTTAGGATGTAGCACTGCAAGCTATCTGCAGCCGTTTCAGTATGAGTTTGACCCCTAGGCCCTGGCCCCAGAGGTGACTCACATGGCACGGCAGACCTCTCCTGACCTGCCTGCTGCTCCCCTCAGCAGTGTACTTCTTCAGTCAGCCTGTCTGCTTCCCACCCTGTCTCTGGTGAACCCTCTCACCACCCCTGCACCTCTGGCCTGTACCTTAGTTCTGTATGCATAAATCAATAAATCTTTAATTAAAAAAAAAGAAAGAAAGAAAGAGAGGTTGTGGTTGCGTTGATGGGAAGAAGACTTGTCCTGGCATGGAGGCTGTGTGACCTCTTAGAGAAAGCAGATGAAAGGAGGGGAGGTGACTTGGTGTCTTGGTAAGCTTATCATTACATCAGCATAGAGAAGGTGGAGGGACCAGGAATATCAGGGTGAGGAGACCCAAACAATTGGAGAGGAACAGGAGCAGGAGATGACTCTATTAGTAGATTTAGCTATGGGAACTAAAAGGAATTCTTGCAGGTGAACATGGTGCAATCTGGAGCAAAAATTGGAACCTCCAACTTTTTTTAACCTGCCGATGTCCCCAGAAAAGCCTGGGGGCTGTCAATCCTTGTTCGTACCCCACTATAGCTCCAAACACTGGTACTGCTATTGACTGATAAGCTGTGCCCAAGTCACCTTGGCTCTCACACTCTACCTGGGTTGGTCTGGGTTTGTCTGTCTGTCTGGGAAGTGATTGCATCTCTGAGTTCATTTGCTTGCCCCCAACACCCCGATCCACTTTGAGTGCTCCCATTGTTGCCTTCCACCTTCCCATTGTTTCAGGGACACCTACTTGTTGTATAGGACCACATCTGGCAGCCAGATGTGTTTGGAGGGGAGCCGAACTTTCTTCATGTTGTCAAACTCCTCAGGCTTCCAGGAGAGGCGATAATCCTCCCACTCCTAGAAAAGGAAGAGAGAGAGGTAGCACCAACCTCTGCCCTGGAAGGGGCTCAAGGTCAAAGACAAGGACAAGAGGAGCTCATCTGACCTAAGAGTGATGTCTCTGCCCAACACGTATGGTTCATAAGATACTTTCTCATTTAATTTGCACAGCTAAATCAAGGAACTAGAATCTATATTTTTCAGATGAGAAAATGAACCTTATGGAATTTTTAACATGTTCAAAGACACATGTCAAAGCTGGTGAGTGGAAGAAACGAGATTCAAAGCTAGTTATTTAGGAATCCTAAGTCTATTTCTTTATGACTCTTTTAAGGGAATTTAAAAAGTGGGGAAGCACAAAAAAGAAGGGAAAGAAAGCATGAAAAGACCAGAGGTGTGAGCAGGAAGAGTACACACCTGAGTCAGCCAGACATTAGTGGTCATGATCTGCTCCCGCTCGTTCTGCAGAGAAGAAGAGACACTGATGAGAATCTCCTCTGCCTATGTCCCACCTCACCCACCTTGATTCCTCCCACACCTCCCCAAGACTTGGGAACTCCAGGAGAGTCAGCACAAACGTGTACACACCCTGGCTGTGCTGGCTGTAGCTGGGCAAAGTATGGAACTCCCACTCACCACACTGATGAGCTGGGCCAGAGATACCATGAGTTGTACTGTCACCAATTCAGACCCATTGGTGGCTGGGCGGATAAGCTTGTTATATCGGGAAGGATCCAGAAGATGCTCCACCAGCCGCTCCTCGGTGTCTCTACCCCAGACTCCTGGGCAGGGGGGTGAGGGGTAGGAGGTAAGTAAGCAAGGAGGGTTCACCCAGGACCCCACTCTCCCCAGGCAAGCAGGACAAGCCAGACCTAAACAGGTGGCTGTAACTTCTGACCACTCTATCCCAAAGGACACAGCAAAATGCTTAAGTTACCTTCAGTCAGTGCCCATCTGTGTGTGCAAGTAACATTTCGCATCTCCATATACATGGCTATAACTGTGATCTCCCCACCCCACCTGCAAAGGCACTGGCTGAGCTATGGATTATGCATTTATTAATCACATGTTCCATGTAAACCAGAGCCCACTGTAACGTCTGACCACTCAGGACACAGCAAAATGCTATATCCCAATAACCTGACATGTAAGTGTGGAAAGGTTCGTTTATTCATATTTTCCCCAAAGGGCAAACACCTGCCCCACCACACTCTTTCTCCTTCCACGACTTCAGGAAAACATCCATCTCCTCAGCCTGGCAGAGCTTCTTCCTGTCCAAATCTCCCATCCCACCCTACAAGAGAGTTGGCAAATTACTTTTTGCTCCTTCCTGCCTTCCCCTGTGGAGTGACCAGAATCAGAAGTCCAATGTTAGGGACAGGAAATGATGGAGAGCCAAGAAAGGGTGCTGGATCAGATAGATTCTTGAAACAAAATTTCACAAGAAACTGAATGAAATGTCAGTCTCAGACAGGGCCTGCATTTCTGCCAGCTGAGAAAAACTGGGGACATTCCCTCCCTCCTTTCTCTCTGTACCCACCCTTTCTCCACTATTCAGGTTTTCATGTCCTCCTTGTGTCTCTTACTACTTCAGTTATGTCTTTCTAATTCGGTCTCCCAGATGCTCCCTGCAGCCAGGGGTCTTTCTCCTGTTCCCCAGCAGACTCCCCTACCTGGAGGGATCCCTCTTTTCCACTTTCAGGCCTGACCAGGTGAGACAACACAGAGACCTGTCCTTACCGGAACACAATCGGAGGAGGCCAAAGCTGAGGAGCAGCGCCATGGGGCCGAAGCTCTGGGGCATCCCCAGGGCATAGCTGGCCTAGACCACTGGCTCCGGGGCGCCGCGGGCGGGAGGGCCGCTGGCAGGGTGCTGTCCGCGGTGCTGAAGCCTCTCCCTATCTGCCAGCTCCTGGCTGGAGAAGTGTCCGGGTGGTGCTCGGGGGGTATGTCTAGCAGTGTCAGGCCGCTGCAGCGGTTCCTGGTGCGCTAGGAAACGGCTGCAAAACGAAACAATCTCCTCTCTTATCCCAGTCAAAGCAAGCGGAGGTTTTTCCGGCTGCTCTTCCAGGGAATACAATTGGGACAGTGAGGGGGAGGAGTCTCCGCCCCGGAGGCGGAAACACCTGATCCCAGGCAAAGGGGTCCCTGGATAAGAATTTCTCTTCAGGTCCCACTTAGAGTGCGTGAGACAGAAGAATGAGTCCGCCGGCGATGGAGGAGCACTGAAGCTCCTAAGGTGGGGAAGGATCTGGAGGGGTCTAAAAAGAGGTGGAAAAAGCGAATAGGTCAGGACACGCTTAGTATAGAGCAGCGAGAGCCCGGGGAAGGGAGCAAGGCGGAGGGCACGAAGGAAGAGAGGAGTTTCTGGGGTTGCCTCCTTCCTTTTCTTTTTTTCTCTTTTTTTTTTTTCTTCCCTCTTGCCAAACCTCTGCTTTCTCCGGAAGGCTGATAGTACAGCAGAAAAAATGCATTTATATTTTTAGAGAAAGAGACAGAGGGCTGGGTGTTTGTACCTGAAGAAAGCAAACAGCTTTTAGGGTCTGGGAACAGTCTCCCCCTTACTCACTTCCTTATCTCCCTAAAAGGCCACACCCTGCTCCCCTTCAGGGAGTCTAAGGTGGAGGTTCTGGACATCACCTGAAAATAAGGCAGGTAATCTTGACAGTCTTACAGAGTGGATAATAAGTGACTCACCCCCATGCCCTTCTACTTGTCTCTGGCTTCGTGTGGCAAAGCAGATGAGAGAACCATTTCATAGAGGCCAGCCAAGGAATGAAGCTAACATCAATGAAAGCAAGATGAGACGCAGAGAGAGGTGTCAAAACTCAATGACATCTTTGATCTTAAAAACCCTGAACTTTTAGTTTCTGAGCCAACATGCCTTGTTCTTTTTTTTTTAAAGGTGGGTTTTTGCCACTTTCGACCAAAAGATTCCTGACTAAAGCAGTCTTATTATACATTAAGGCCCTCTTATTCCATTTCTGCCTACTTCAACCTCCTCTGGGCCACTGTCTCTTTTCCCCCCTTCCCCTCCAACACACACACACCCTACAACTATTGACAATGTCTTTAAGATCCTTCAGTGTTCTGTACCTACTGTCCTCCACACTCAGGGCCTTTTAAACACATTGTTCCCTTGACTCTTTTTACCTACTTCTTCACAACCACCTTCTACTTAACTTTGAATATTTGGCAGAAGTGTCAGTTCCTCTGCAAGCTGCACAAGAAACTATGTCTGTGCAAGGACTAGGTCAGGTACGCTGTGACGTGTTTCTAGAAGTCCACTGAATAAGTATATTTATCTCGCTCAGGTGCTAGCTGTCTCTGTTACGAAGGTATAACAAAGACTGTATGAATCTTCTAATATGTAGGGGAAATTTTGTCTCTAAAAGAAACTTAACATCGGCCTCATTCCTGGAATTGTGGAGGAAAACAAGATGTTTGCCAGAAAAACACTGAATTAACAGGATAACTATTGGACCCAGAGGCACAAGGGAGAGCAGACACAAATCTGCAGCACAAGCTACAGGGCATATGACGCACAGACTCATAGCAACCTCCCAAGAAAAGCTTGGAAGCCAAACAGTAGTGGAGTGTAAATGCCTCATGGAAAAGGGAAGGAATATGCACAGCTACTCCACTTGGGAAGTCCAAATGCCAAAGGTGGGGAGAAGACCCATCTTCAACAATTCAGGTCAAAATTATTGGGTATTATTGTTTGCCATGAATTTCACAGGTGTTGAGAAGATTTTTAAAAATAAAGAAAAGAACAGGCCCTCCCTGGTGGTGCAGCGGGTTAAAGCACTGCACTGAGAAGCTATGGCCGCTTCCGCATGAGTTCGATTCCCGCCTGCCCCGGAGGTGACCACATGGCGTGGCAGACCTCTCCTGACCCGCCCGCTGCTCCCCTCAGCAGTGTACTTCATAGATGTGCCTGTTCTGCTCCCCGCTCTGTCTCTGGTGAAGCCTCTCACCGCCCCTGAGCCTCTGGCCTCTACCCCAGCTCTATATATACAAATAAATAAATCTTTAAAAAAATAAAATAAAAAATAAAGAAAAGAACAGACCTCGTCCCAAGGTTAAGGAGGTCACTGGCAGCTAAGAGTTATTACACACTGTGAATAGGACACCTTGTCCATGCAGTCAGCACTGTGGGGCTGCAGTAAGCCCCAGCTGTGTTCCTATACGCCCATTCACCAACCCAGCCCTAGGTGGAAGAGGAAAGCCAAAGATAAGGGTGGAGGCAGGGGAGATCTGAGGCGGCTGCTCTAGTAGAGACATAAACAAGGTGGAGGATAAAGGGGCTAGAACGGGTGGGCATGAAAGAATAAACCAACAAGACAGTGCTTTGAAGAATTTCAAACTCCTGACAGGGAGAGACCGAGGCTATACATGTACGTAGTAGTTAGTTCTTTCTGCTTTGGGTGGAAATTGGGTGATTGAAGGCTGTGGGAGTCTTTTACCTGTTCACCTTGACCTATGTATCTTTTTTCAAATTCTTAATATTTTATTTCAGGTGTAACTCCAGCCTGACAGGGAATGAGTACACTCCCTTGTCTCTATAGTTCTTCCATATCCACTGGGAAGAGAGGGAGCCAGGGAGAAAGGACAGGTCCATGCAGGGTGATGAGTAGAGAAGTAAATAGTGACCAAAGTTTTAGTGGTTCATTCCCATTGCTTCTAATGGTAAGGAACATTTTCTCTGAAAAGGCATTGCTATTGTTACAGGGCAGGAAGAAGGGTACCCCAGAACCCCGAAACCTACCTGCTCTAAATAGGTTATACCATGTGCTACATCAAGACAAAACATGCAAGACCTTTAACAGAAAGGAACTTTAATACAATAAGTGTGGAATACAGAAAAGACAAAGAATATAGTTTCTAAATTAAACACCCAAACTTCCCCCCCACTTTGTGGGTAAAAGTCCACCCAAACGAGATTGGCCCGAAGCAAGGCCTGAAAGCCCGCCACAAGTCTAAAGCACCTTCCAGCTGGGACCCGTAGAAAAAGGTCACATATGGTCAGACAAATCTGGGAAGAAGAGAGCAAAATCAAGATCAAGATAAGCGCTGCCATAGTTAACCTCCCTACGGGTCTCTCACCCACATCTGTTTCAACCAGCCCAGGGCTAAGAAACAAGAGCTGCTTCTTCACCTCTCTCTGCTCCATGTGCCTCCCTCAGGTCTCCTCCTGGTTCCATCCTGCTTCCTTCTTCAGTCTCCTCTCCAAAGTCTTCTCCTCCTTGTCCTCTTTGTTCAGCTCCACCCTCCTTTGGGTAGGTCAGGGACCACAGATTGTCCCCTTTTTCTGAGACCACCCTGTTACAATATCAGTGTCAAAGTCTTTATTTAAGATATTTTAAATTTAAAAATCTTATTACCAAAGAAATACTTGAAGACTGGGCCCTCCCTGGTGGCACAGCAGGTTAAAGTGCAGCATTGCAACTAACAATAGCCGTTTCAGTGCAAGTTC